TGCAATCGGGAATGTTCGAAGTCGAGGATGTACACTCCGTTCTCGGAGTGTGCCGGTCCGATCTGCCGGCGCGCCTTTTTCGGCGGAGTGTAGTGCAAGAGTATGTCTCGTGTGCGGAGGTCGGTGCTGAGCTCGACTCCGCAGTCCATGAGCTGCGCTGCCAAGAGAAGGTTGAAGCGCAGATTCTGGACGATCAGCACATCATTCAGCGTGATGTGTGTGCGGCTCCCATGCGCCTTCAGCACGACGATACCTTGCGCGCAAATGAGTGTTGTTCGCCACGGTGACGTAGGTGACCGTGGGGGTTGGGACGGCGTTAGAGACGAAACGTTCCGATCCGACCATGTGTTGTCCGCATCAGCTATCAAGGTACCAGGTGTTGTACCTTTTGTTGTCATCGCGCGCGAGCAGCGCCAGTCGCGGCGTGACAATATGTGGGGTGTTAAATTTCAAGAATTGATCGCGTGATATCCAGTCAAGTGGGGCCACCCGCGAATCAGGTACGTGCGGGGGGCTTTCAAGCAGCGGGATTGGTAGGTTCCAATCCTGGTCGTCATCATCGCTGAAGTCGCGTCGGGTCGTAAACAGATTGTTGTTCGTGAACGCCCCGATAGGATGGCGTGCTGGCTCCGGTGACGGCGTGCGCACGCGGCGACGGCGGGATCCGCATGTGTCCGTCATCGTCATGTTGCTGATGACGTTGCGGGGAGCTGTAGACGACGGCTGTTGATGCTGGTGCTGAACTCCTAGGTTCAGGCTGCAAGATGGGGGTTGGTACCCCTGGGCTTGACGCGTGTCGTGGCGTGCGTCTTGACGGCCAGACCAGGTGCTCGGATTGGTCTGGCGAGGGCGAGAGCGGGATATGCATCGTTCTGCCAAGTGCCCAGAGTTTCTGCATATCTTGCAGTAAAGGCGTCGCGGCCGTCGCTCTTCTGTGTTGTCGGCGTAGAAGGCGAGACGTTCCCGGTCTCGTCGCGGCGCTGGTCGCTGCTAATCCATGTCTCTCTGTTCGACGAGAAGGGCGGCGCATAGGGCAGCTTCCGAGATAACCCCCTGCTGTCGGAGTATCGCCTTGCAGGGCCGCCACTCTGGACCGAGCCCTTGGAGCACAATATTCACGAAGATTTCTTCGGAGATGGTGCTTCCTAATTATGCGATTTGATCGCGTAAGCTACGACAGCGATTGATGTAGCTGTTGGCCTTCTCTCCTGGGGCTATTTTTGTCTCCAGTAGCTGCTGGAGCAGGCGGCTCGAGGAAACTGAGTCTTTCGGTTGGTATACGCCGTTCAGATGTCGCCAGGCGTCGAGGGCTGGAGCAGACGTTGTCTTGTACGATCGGATGCTCAGCTGTTCCACTGGCGACATGTTTCGTAGTAAGACCCCGTACGCCATCAGCGATTCGTTGTTGTATCGCGCCCTGGCGTCAGCGGTATCTTCGGTAGGTCCGTCGTAGCTCCCGTCGAAGTAGTGAAATATCTGCGCGTTTTGCAGTAGTAGCTCCAGCTCAAAGCTCCACGTATAGAAGTCCCTGCCGTCAAAATACACACCTGTCTTTATTTTTGATATGCTCATGAACCTTGATTGAGCTGAGAGAATTGCTTCTTCGCTGGGACAGGGAGTCTTGGGTGTTGAGCCATTTTTGTTGAGGGAGAAGGTGTGCGGGGCGGTATCGTGGCCGTTCGCGGCCGGTTTAGAGGGTTGGGAAGATGTTCCCGCGTCGCCATTCCGCAATGTCTGGACGCTTTGCTCCAGAGTTGAGAGTCGCTTAAGTAGTTGTGCGAGGGCGGCTGTACCGATCGTCGTCGCTTCCTCGTTTGTCGCAGCCAGGTTGGACTGCGCTTTAGCGGTCAGATTTGTCTGACCTCCAGATCCTCCGGCCATTCTTACGCGCGAGCGTGTGCAGGACGCCACCTTAGTTCGCCGAATGTTTCGGAGGTGGCAGTGCGAAGGATTCCCGAGTCGCTCTGATACCATGCTGCGATCAAAAGTTAGATCGTAACCAGGATCTCCTCAGGAAGGTTCGCACAAGGTGTGTGGTAGTGGTGGGCCCCTGACCTCAAATCAGAGTGAATGTAAAATGATTGAGATGAGTAAAACATGTAAATACAAGCATATAAATAAGGGTACCGTATTTTCCCGGATGTAAGACCCGGGGGACTTTCCAAAAATTCAAAAAAAAGTGTTAGGGTGAAGATCATGGAGGCTGGAAATTGATAAGACCCCCAAACATCTATTGTACTCATAAGGGGAAGTTTTTCTCTATACACTTCGTTTTTTCTACCAGAATCGAGCCTAACTAAAAAGCGATCTCGAAAGTACCCAGTCAAACCTTCGATCTGACACGGTCAATGCGTCAGATTTCGAGTCTGACGCACTGACCGCGTCAGAATTCCCCTTTATCCACCTAAAAACTGATTCGCGAATGCTGAAAAGCACTAAAAACTGCACATTCTACACCAACATTCTGCACATTCTATTAAAATGTTTAATAGCAAAAGGGGGATCCTCACAGATTATACCATATTAAGCGTACACCCCTCCGCATATAAGTCCCATGGGACTTTTATTCCGGAGTGTCTTATATCCGGGAAAAAACGGTACATGTGGAATACGAAACGACCTAACTAGCCATGTACTCTAAGGGATACATTCCCTTATTGCAGCGAAACTCAACCGTGCGACTCCAGACGGTTACAAACCGTTAGGGCAGAATCCTCGCTACTGCTGCTGCTTTATGCTCTCTGCCTTTGACGGTCCAGATGCCTCGTAACCGTACGACCCTTCGCGTCATTCCGTCTCTTCGTCTTCAGCCTCGGTACTGCATGACTCGCTTGCTACTGTCAGCGAGTTGTAGTTGTATTCCCTTCCGCGTTATTGAATCCTGCGCACTCTTTTCATTACAACTCATAACACAAAGTTAATCAGAGCAGTTACTCGATGGTAACCCGATTACCAGCAATTGCGCATGCAAATTTGCAGCGGAAATCGGTTGTGGTGGAGTTTCAGATATCGGACGTACGATCTTCGTATTGCTTGAAAGCACGAAGATCCGTCCGTTGCCTGCTCTTGACGGATTCCGAGGCGCACTCTCATGGCTCGCCGGATTCTCCCAAAACGCAAAGAACACATGTGGTGGCTGGTAGTGTACGCGCCCGTCCAATGTCCCCAGCGCCTTGACTTCCCTTAGCCACCTCGGCTTGCAAGGTTTCGAGTTGGCCCCTCTCGCTTGGATCTCATCACACGATCACCTCAAGCATCACCACCACCGCCAACTCAGCGCTCAGAACCGCGATGCCCGATGCATATGTTGTTTTGCAGTTGAGGAGGCTGTTCTTTCCTCCCCGTCAAACGACATTTTTATGCTGCCCCCAGAGAACCCCACCAACCAGCATGTCTCCCACCACGAGCGTCATCAACATTCTTCACAGATGGCCTGGCTCGCTTTGCAACTCCGTGCTTGACAGTGCGTCAATTTCTGCGTTTACAGCTCATATATAACTGTTCAGAGCGGTGAATCGCGGTTAAATAAGGTGAAGCAAAAAAGCCGCTCTAGAAAGCACAACATCGTACTGAACCGCAACAGCTGAACAGAAATGTTCCATCTCAGACCCGCCAAAAGGTCTCAGGAACTCTTGATCATGTAGACTGTGAAGTGAAGGTTCTGCATTGGAAAAAAGCACACGATGCAATGCAACCCCGCACCGCATCGAAAAAAACAATTGTACCCTGTCCGTACGAGATGACACCAGAGCAGACCGCCAGAAATACTGAGTAGGTAACAAGACCGCTAACTATACACGCCTCGTCGTCACTCACCCGAGCCCACTCTATCCTCACTGAATCACCAGCTTGACCATCTCGATTCGAGACTATACATTCTGCTATCGTCATTTTTTCATCCTACTACCGCTCCTCCTACCCCATTCGGTTTCCTCGCCTTTCACTACTGATGCTCCTCGTTCGGCCCTTCCGAATTCCCGTACTCGCCGTTTCCCTCATCGACGTACTACAACAAAACCCACTCGCTGTGAGCAGCATTCGCCCCCGGTGAACCGCTAGATCCGACGATTATCACGTGGATTCCGACGCTTTTATTGTGGATTCAGGGCATCGGCGCCTTTTGCTAGTGGCACTAGTAGCAGCTCGTTCTCAGCCGCTGTGCCAGCTGCGGCGGCGGCGTCCAGGTTCAGTGAATGTCATTCACCACGGTGAACGGATCGTTTCGCGTCATAGCCTAAACAGTCCCTCTGCCGCCCTCTTCCCCCACGGGCCGTTGCGGACGGACGATCTCTCCGCAAAACATGAACTACAGACTTCTCCGGGCTGATTTTACTCCTACAGAGCGTTGTAATAAACGCCTTACCTCCCGAGATCTTCTCGTCCTCTCCGTCCTACTCCTATCCGCCGCGATTCCCGCCGCGGTTTCCGCCACGAAGGTTCTTTCCGCAACTGCAGCTACTGAACCAGTGCTCACCACAACTAAATATGGAACATCCGAATTTCAGCCAACCGGGTTCGTGCGCGTGTATCCAACTTCCGGAAACTTTCGCGACTCCTACTTCTCGAGAAACGCGATTGGCGGCACGGGGAGCAACGATACGCTGACATCCACGGTTAGCCGTGCCGCAGAACTGACTCGCCGGCGGCAGCGGCGGCCGGAGCGGCAACACCAAGATCCGTTGCTGGGAAATGGATTGGGACGTCGTTCGAGGCAAAATATACATTCTGGAAGTCCCGGAATGAGCTACCATGGAGGACCTGTAATGAGTTCGCCTATTAACGTGTACGTCGTGTTCTACGGGTCGTGGAATCGCGAGGATCGGCGAGCTGTTAACACGTTCGTGCAATCAATTTCGGACAACTCGGGTAGCCCTACCGGTGCCGCGAGCGTGCGACGATGGTGGCGAACCACCAGCTTGTACACTGGCAAAGGCGGCGTTGCGGTAACGTCGCAGGTGCGGCTTGCGAAATCCGCGGTGGACAGATATTCGCTGGGGAAGATGATGCGGGACGACATGAACGGCGTGTGGCAAGGTACGCATAAAAGTTTCCGGTCTTTGGTAAGATACATAGAGGTACGGATTTCAAATCAAAAAAAGGGAAGGCTTTCACACAGATGGGTGTGGATGAAGGTGGGGCGGTTCTAAGAGCATTATGAAGGCCATTGAGTTTTGATGATACAGGACCATCTATCTCGAATAACTCATTTTGTCCTTATTTTACTCTGTTCCTTGCAGTTATTCGCAAGAAGATTGATTCGGGTAATTTCCCCATCGATGCTTCTGCGCTCTACGTCGTCTTAACGAGTCCAGACGTGCGATTGGGCGACAGTTCCCAAGGCTTCTGCGGGCCGCAGGGGTACTGCGGGTGGCATTCTACAGCGTCGAACGGGCGGAGCGAGCTGAAAGTGATCCACGTGGGGAACGGGGGGCAGCAATGTCCGCGGTATTGCGTGCCTTCATACAACACACGGTAAGAGGAATAAAATTGTGGGGGGTGGGGATTCGCGGCTCACAGCGGAGAATTGTGTCGAGGATTAGGAAGAAAGGGCACTGACACGGAAATTTATTCTCCACGTGGTAGGTCGGCGTGACCACGACCTTCCCACTCATCCTCCCCCGCCTGCTCCCCCCGCCACCACCCCCTTCCCCCCTTTCCTTCTCCTCCCCGCCCTCTCCCCCTCTCCCCCAATCACCCCCCTCCCCCCAAACCATCGTTGTGCTTAAGGTTTACACGGGGTCACATGCGTTGGATGTTTGTTCATGTCTGGTGGTTGTGGTTACCACCAGCTGGATGATGCTATGACGATATCATTTCCTGCTGCCGCTGCGGTTAGTTGTGATTGTGATTGTGATTGTGAATACTCTGTTCCTTCTCTTTTCTGTTCCTTCGCCCCATTGAATACTCTGTTCCTTCTCTTTTCTGTTCCTTCGCCCCATTTAATTCAGCGCATCTGCGAACAGCTATCCGGGTGTGGATGGACTGATAAACACTTTAGCCCATAAAATGGTTGAGAGACGGCCGCCAACCCGCTTACAGCTTCAAATGTTTAACCACACGCATATCTGGATTCTTCTATTTTCTGTTCCTACCTTCATTTTTACTCCAGGTCATCTCCAAACAGCCATCCAGGTGTGGATGGGCTGATAAACACTTTAGCCCATGAGATGGCTGAGACGGCCACCAACCCCCTTATAGACAATGGCTGGTTCGATATAAGCACCTTGGAAGAGATTGCGGACAAGTGTGCACGACTGTATGGACAGAAGGGCAAGGATGTGGTTGTATCGCAACAGGGATACGCTTATAACGTGCTTGGAAAAGCAGGGTCACGCTATCTTTTACAACAGGTGAGCAACTGGCATTCTATTTCTGTCCAGAGTTTGTCAGTATGACAGAGGACACGGGGGGACAGTGAATGGAAAGGGGGGTGTATTGGGGGGAAGGAGGTGGGTTGTTGTGGGAACATGGGGCTGGCTTGGGCGCATAGAGAGGTGGCTTGGAATGATAGGGTGGCTTGTATGGATAGGGAGGAGAGTTGGAGATACGCTGTAAGAGAGTTGAGTGGTGGAGATAGGAAGGTGGGTGATGGAGTTAGGGAGGGGGGTGGGTGGTGGAAATAGGTAGGAAGGCTGTAGGGATACGGCGTGGCAGGTTTCTGTTTGGATGACAAGGTACGGTATAGTGAGTTCATTTGTGAAGTGTTACATGTTTGCGTGTGCGCATTCTACGGCCTCCCACTGTAGGTGGACACGCCTCTTGTACCTCTGTATACAATTTCCTGTAAACGCCCCGTTGTGTCTATTAGCCCCCAGCTTCAACTCGGCCCTCTCTGCCCCGCCCCTCCTTCCCATGTGCTGACATGCAGCTGTGGAGCCGCGCTTCTCCCCAAAAGTGTGTTGTGCTGGGTCCAGCCTGAAAAGCGATGCCGCCCCAGTGTATCATTTTGCACCTTGCCTATGCCTAGGTCACTTAGCGTGACAAATGATCAAGGGGGGCGTGTGTTGGTAAAAAACTGCATAACTACGGTACTGAAGAGCATTGCTTGGGCAATCCGCCCACAGGGGGCAGTACCCACTTGGGGGAGCTTGATATTGTGGGCAGGGCACTGATCTAGTGGTCTGGATGTGTGTAGCAGATTGATTGATTGTGTTTCCATGGAGCTGTGGGGCCGTGCTTCTCCCCAAAAGTGTGTCCTGTTTAGTCCAGCCTGAACGACCATACCTACCCAGTGTACTGTTTTGTACTGTGCCTACGCCTAGGTCACCTAGCGTGATATGATAAGTGTAAATTCCATCCACAAGAGGCAGTGGTGCCTACTTGAAGGCATATTCATTGTTTTCTTGTGAAACAAACCATTAAAGAACAATGCAAATATGTCAAGATGAACCACTGAAGTAGAAACACAACCACCCAACTTACAATACATACACGACTGTTTCAACTAGCCAAGGGTCCACCACCTACAGTACAAAATGAAATGAATTACGGTATGAATCTGCAACCTCAATAGCTGAGCGAGGGCCCTTCCCGAGAACAGAGAGCAGAGCAGGGGCCCTTTCATCCTGAGACGAGAGCAGAGCAAGGGGCCCTTCCATCCCCTGGGAACTCCAAACCACACTCGAATCCAAAACCATGCAGAATCTGGTCTTCGTCAACCTCAGTGCGAAACCCTAGGCGATCTTCGCAAGCAGCCCGGAGACGCGCCCCCGCACTGGAATCCCAAACCGGAAATACATATCCGGGCAGCCCAGCATGTTCCAATCCGTCCACATGTAGTCTTTCTTGCTGAAATAGCTCCGACGACCTGTGAAAACCGACGGTTCGAGAATGTGCGTGGTTTTCACGAGAGTGTCGACACAAATCTCAGCGGGAACATCGGTTGTGCCGTCGGTCCCAGTCCCACCAGTTCCATCAGTACTTGTACCATCAGTGGCTTCAGGAGCTCCGATCGAACCCGGTGCAACGTAGTCAGGGTTAGGAGTGCACGTCTGAACGTATTCCTGGTTGAGCGTCCAGGTGGTGCCGCTGTTGAGGTAGTAGAGATGACCGTTGGAAAAGACCATGAAGAAGGTCGGCGGATCCGTGACTGTCAGCGCGTTATCAGTCATCTCGATGCTCGCCTCAAAGCTGATTATGTAGTCCGAAGGTTTCTTGGAGCGCAACGGGTTCCTGCAGGGAATGAGGACGGAGGGGAGAGAAAGAGGAGGGTTGTGAGCGTGACCGTTGGAAAAGACCATGAAGAAGGTGGGCAGATCTGTGACTGTCAGCGCGTTATCAGCCATCTCAATGCTCGCCTCAAAGCTGATTATGTAGTATGAAGGTTTCTTGGAGCGCAACAGGTTCCTGCAGGGAATGAGGACGGAGGAGAGAGAAAGAGGAGGGTTGTGAGGGTATGCTCTCGTCCATCTCGATGCTCGCCTCAAAGCTGATTATGTAATCTGAAGGTTTCTTGGAGCGCAACGGGTTCCTGCAGGGAATGAGGACGGAGGAGAGAGAAAGAGGAGGATCGTGAGCTGCGAGCTGCGAGCGTGTGCTGCGAGCGTGTGCTGCGAGCACATCTCGATGCTCGGCTCAAAGCTGATTATGTAGTCCGAAGCTTTCATGGAGCGCAGAGGGTTTCTGCAGGGACGAGGACGGAGGGAGAAAAGAGGGTTGTGAGGGTATGCTCTCGTCCATCTTGATGCTCGCCTGAAAGCTGATTATGTAGTCCGAAGGTTTCTTGGAGTGCAACGGGTTTCTGCAGGCAATGAGGACGGCGGGAGAAAAGAGGATGGTTGTGAGGGTATGCTCTCTCAAGTCCAACTCAAAATCCGGAACCACCTCGTAGTGCGTGCGATTTCTACAGGGAATGAGGACAGCGGCATAAAGGAGTTGTGACGGTATGATCCGGTCTTGGCACGCGTGGGTTCCCGCAGCGGAAGGGAGAAGAGAGGCGAGATGAGAAAGCATGCGCACAGGAGCGGTAGGGCACAGGAGCGGTACAGAGAACACAGGAGAGAAGGAGAACACTAGAGTGTCAAAAGCTCGCAGCCAGTGGCAGAAGCAGGAGACATAAAGGGATGATGTTACATAATGACGCAGTAAGCAAGAAGCATGTGCACGAAGAGAACTCACTTGATGTTCGAAAACAGAAGAACTGTAAGCATCACGATACATGAAGAGACAGTAAACCAGAGTCACACGCACGAAGACCAACTCACGAGATGTTCAACGACAGAAGAGCCGTTTCTGAGGCGCCTCAAAAGAAGGCATAAGGATACATGCAGACACAGTAAACCAGAGTCACACGCAGGAAGACGACTCACGAGACGTTCAACGACAGAAGAACTCTGGTCACATTGGTGCCGGTTGTGTTGAGCGCATACCGGCCTGCCAAAGCGAGGACAGGTGGGAGACAAGGGAGGAGACAAACCGGTTAGCGAGCAGAGGGAGGAAGATTCGGGTGAATGAGAGGAGAAGACGGGAAAGAGCTTTGGTCACATTGGTGCCCGTTGTTTTGAGCGCGTACCGGCCTGCCAAAGCGAGGACAGGTGGGCGACAAGGGAGGAGGTGAGCAGGTCAGGGGAGCAGAGAGAGGAAGGCCGTATGAATGGGAGGGGAACATGGGAGGGGAGGAAAAGAAGGGAGGAGGGGAGTAGGAGAGAGAGAGCTCTAGTCACATTGGTGCCGGTTGTGTTGAGCGCGTACCGGCCTGTCAAAGAGAGGAATGCTGCATGAATGGGAGGGGAACATGGAAGGGGAGGAAAAGGGAGGAGGGGAGTAGGAGAGAGCTCTAGTCATATTGATGCCAGTTGTGTTGAGGGCGTATGAGACTGTCACAGCGAGGGAAGGCAAGGGGCCAGGTGCAGAGGGCAAGGGGCAGGTGCAGAGGGCAAGGGGCCAGGTGCGCTTCACCACTTTCGGGTCGGCGAAAATTCAGGCGCAGGAAAGAGCGGACGGGAAGCGCGAGAGCGATATGCGCTGCGAGCAAAAAACCCATGCACTTGCACGTTGTATCGAGTCACCTCTTACCGACGAGGTCTTTCAGAATTTTAAGCTCGCGGCGGGGAGTCTCAGCACGGGGCTCGACGGGTAACGAGGCGAATATGGCGACGACTGCGAAGGAGAAACGCGGGGGAAAAGGGAGAGTGAGAGAAATGAGAGAAACAAACAAGTTATGAAGAAAGAGTGACATGTTGCCAAATAGATTTGGATTTGGATCCCGGTCGGGGGGAAGTGGGGGAAGAGTGGAGACGACTGCGCAGAGCGACTTGCGCAAAGAGAGGAAGAAGGAGACAGAACGTTCCTGCCAGTCGAAACCCATCACCGACACGGCTCGTTAGGAGCGAGTCATTGAGGAAACGACAGGTCATCCAATGGACACGTAGTGAGTCAGCGGGCGGACGACAGTCACTGATTCGACAGAGGCATTCTCGAGGAGGATGCGCCGCAAAAACAGTACGTGCTTTGCAAGTGTCGATCATTCGTATCCAAACCATCGCTGCTTCACCCCCGTCACTATCGAGTCCGTCACTCTGAGAGGGTTTTCAAAATAAGCTTAAACTGTCCACGGGATACGACTTGACTTCTGAGTCCACGCAAAAGTCACCTCTGATAGGATTTTTAAAGCCTACACGGTGTTTACGGGGTACGACGGCGAAGGTGGGCTGAAAGCTAGCCGCTCGTGATTCAACGACCAGCAACCGTAGGGGTATTATAACGGGGCAACACCACAACGGGCCGAAACGGTGCTTTAACAGGCGGAAGTCACTCGAAAAAGAAGCGCTGAGGAGTTACGATGATTAACTACGCGAGCCTTCTTAGGAGCAACGACAGGTAGCATCACATCACATCACATCACATCACATCACATCACATCACATCACATCACATCACATCACATCACATCACATCACATCACATCACATCACATCACATCACATCGCAACACGACATACCATACCATTAGCGTCTCGCTGTTCATATATTGCCGGGCAATTGCCGGACGACTATCGGCTTATGCTACGCTAACGGCTACTCAAAATAACTGCCCGCTACTCAATTAGGCAGCCTATGGCGGAACCGTGGAGACGCGAGTTTACAGCAGGAACCGCATGTTTCCGCATCCGTGCTCAAATCTGCAACGCCTGAAGCAGCAGCTTTGGTTCGAACTACTGCTAGCATTGACGCAGCCGTGTTAACTCACGTAGCAGCAGCTGGACGGCTGTCGTTAGCCGAAGAGACGCCATGGATTCCTGGACAAATACGAGGACGGGCGCAGCGGCTAGCCTGGGTTCAATTCGGTGGAGAAAGGTTGAGAATCTGAAGGGAGGGTGGAAACGCCTTTGTTGCTGGACGACTAAAAAGACTGGTCAGTACGGTAACGAAGTCCTAGATTGTAGAAAGTAAGGCCTGAGCTATCGTATGTTTGGAAGGACACTAGGGTCTTAGTTGTGTTACTCAGAGGGAAGAGTGTCTCTATTCTACACGAGACACGTCTTGGCTTCTGGGTTGATCTGTCTTGTCTGTTCAGGGCTGAGGAGTTGACATGCCCCAAGCGGATCTCAGCCAGAACTGTACTCAACCGTTCTGTTTGTCTATCAGGTAGCTACAAAACGTACTCAACCAGAATAAAACGTTAACGCTCCATAAATACAGTACAGTTCCATGGCTCCTAGAAGTGGGAGGGAGGGGAGGTGGGGGAGGACAACGGAAGCTAGTTCTCAGTGGTCTGTTGCGACACCGACAACTGTAATTCACGTTTCATTTGGCTTGGATGGCTAGATGCTGGGTATGCCCAAAACATGAGGTGGATGTATTTCAGATCCCTTTCGGCATAAATAGAGGCTATGATGAGTTGATAAGCAAACATATGAAGAAGACTCGGTTAGATTTCTGCTCGAGCCGAGCTTCGGGTCCAGAAATAAACAACGACCAGCAGCAATTTCGCGTCTTTCAGAGACAGTAGGTTGGGTTAGTTTTGAAATAAAACTGGCTTTCACCCTGAGAAAACCACATCTGGCTTGCACACAGTACGTGTATCCGTTCGAAACGCGCGAATGTTGTTCCATAGTTACTGTAGCATCTTTGACGAAGCGCTGATGCAGTTGGTCACTTGCAGATTCCTCTGGTACATTCATCAGGTGTGTTTTCAGGTGATCAGCGCTCACACAAGTCGAGGACGTTAGACACTGTACCGCGAAGGAACATGCAAGCTGGACGCATTCCTGGATGTGATTGGCGACAACCTCCTGCGAAGGGTTGCCCTAGCAATGAAATTGCACCACGAAGCATCACGAAGAAGATCAGGGTACCCACGTTTCGCCAGTGTTGCAAGTAGTTCACGCTTGTAACAACAAGTGAAACAGACACTGCCACTATCCGAAAGTTATAAAAGATAAATGTTATGGGCAGCCTTTAGCGAAAAGGCAATGCAACAGCAATAGAAGATCTGGTGAAGCAAAATTTCACATAATTTGCAAGCAACTAGGCTTGCCTTGGGATTTCCATAAAATTGTAGGTGGCCTGTTATAAAAAGAAGAAAAAAAAAACACTCTTGACAGCCCCTACTGCCTGCCCATGCTGCTCATCCCCCCCCCCTCTTTGCTCCCTCACTCGCTACTCTGCTTTCTTCTGACTAGCATCGCTCCCCTCCTCCCTATTCCCTGCAGTCTTCTCACCTGCAACACTGCCAGCCCTTCCCTACCACCAGGTCTCGCCTCTGCCTGTGCTCAGCCACCTTATAATCCACCACATCTTGAAACAACTGCGCATCCAACACACTCTCTTTGCAGGAGTCTCAAAATCCATATACACCTTCTGCGCTGTAATGCTCCTCTCCTCCCTACCCTGCCTTCTTCTCACCTGCTTCGCTCCCCTCCTTCCCAGGTTCTTCCCAACCCTTCCCGGCCACCAACTCTCGCCTCTGCCTGTGCTCAGCCACCTTATAATCCACCACATCTTGAAACAACTGCGCATCCAACACACTCTCCTTGCTCCCATACACCGCCCCCCTCACACTTGCCATAAACTTCGCAATCTCACGCCCCGAAAACCCCTCCATTTTCCGCGCAGCATCCCTTAAAACATCCTCCGATACCCCCTTTACCTCAATCTTCTCCTGCCTCCGGAGCGCCCCGGCAATCCCGCCGCCGCCCCGCTTCCACCACTTCCTTCCGTCCTGTGAATTTGTCACGTAGCGGTGGAGGTACAGCTGGAGCAGGCGGAACCGCTCCTCCTCCCTCGGGAGAGGAAATTCCATCATTTCGTCGATTCGGTCGGTGACTGCGCTATCCAGATCCTCGGGTCTGTTTGTAGCGAGTACAAGCACGATGTCGCGCGATTGGTCGCCTGTTCGGAAGAGCATGGCATTGAGGGCGGAGCGCTGCGCCTCGCTCATGGTGATCTTATTGCGCCTGGTGGGCAGGACATGCACAGAGGGAGGGAGGGAGACACACACACCATCATACGCAGCAGCAAATACAGGGAAGGAACACTCAATGGGTGTCACAGGATTGGTCGCCCGTGCGGAAAAGCATGGCGTTGAGGGCGGAGCGCTGCACCTCGCTCATGGTGATCTTGTTGCGCCTGGTGGGTGGAAAAGGGATGCAGTGAGGAAATTGAGATGTGGAAGATGGGTGATGGGCGATGCGCAATGGGCAATGCCCGATGTGTGATGGGGGATGGGCAATGGGGGATGGGCGATGGGCGATGGGGAATGTGCGATGGGGGATGGGCAATGGGGGATGGGCGATGGGGAATGTGTGATGGGGGATGGGCAATGGGGGATGGGTGATGAGCGATGGGGGATGGGGATGGGTGATGGTGATGGTGATGGTGATGGTTGGTCTCCACCTCCTTCCATGCTATGGTGTGTAATGTGATGCCATGTCATGTCATGTCACGTCTTGTCATGCCCACTCATGCCATGCCATATCATCTCATGCAAAGTCATGCTGTGCCATGCCATGCCATGCCATGCCACGTCATGCCAAGCCAAGGAATGCCGCCCGCCACTCACTCGCACAGAAAGGCGTCCGCCTCGTCGATAAACAGAAGCAGCCCGCGCTTGGTGTGCGCCGCCCAGTCAAACATCTGGTGGATCTTCGTCACGGCTTGAGGCCCTAGCGGCGCCACGTCTCCTCCTGTCATCAACGCATAGTCCAGCCCCTGAGAGACAACAGGGTGACGAGAGAGGAGTGAGGTAGGCAACAGGGTGTTAATCCCTTGCTACTGCACCATCCGGCCACAGGCAACAGTCAAGTCAACCATCTGGTGGATCTACGTCACTGCCTGTGGCCCAAGGGAGCCACACCTCCACTCCACCAGTCATCAGCGCTCAGTCCAGTCCAGGCCCTGAGAGGCAACAGGGTGAGGAGAGAGGAGCGAGGTGAGCAACGGAGGTGATTCTTTTGTCGGTTGAGTGGACCTAGAATGGAATACCAAACAGGGAGTTGCAGGAGAGCCCAGTCAAACGTCTAGTGGATCTTCGTCACTGCCTGTGGCCCCAAGGGAACCACATCTCCTCCTGTCACCAATTGCCTTGCGAGCTCTTTAGCAGCCATGGTCTTGCCGGTGCCAGGGGGTCCAAAGAAGAGCATGTTCCGAAACAGGGCTCTCAGGTGCCCAGTGTTGGCCTACTTGACAGTGCCTAACCACTCTCACCACCACCACCCACCGATTGCCTTGCAAGCTCTTTACCTTGGTGTTGGCCGTTGTACCAGGTTGCCTTGCGCTTGGTGTTGGCTGTGGCAGCAGCGAGCTGTCTCAACCCCCAATGAACCCTACACCCTAGCCCAAGCCCTGGAAACCCTGAACCCGAGCCCAAAGCTCCCTCTTCACAACCCACCGATTGCCGGGCGAGCTCTTTAGCGGCCATGGTCTTGCCGGTCCCCGGGGGACCAAAGAAGAGCATGTTTCTGAACGGTGCCCCGTGGCGCTTGGTGTTGGCCGTGGCGGCAGCAAGCTGGCGAATGCGGTGGTGCAGCGACGGGTGCAGAATCACATCGCCAAACCCGCGGCCCGATTTCATCAGGGCTGAGGCCGCTGCTCCTCCCGCCCCTGCTGCAGCCGCCTCTGCCGTTACTGCTCCTGTGGTGGGGATGGGCAGGGAAGAGAGAGAAGGATGTCGGGTGGTGCAGCGACGGGTGCAGAATCACATCACCAAACCCTCGACCTGACTTCATCAGGGCTGAGGCCGCTGCTCCTCCCGCTCCTGCCGCTGCCGCCTCTGCCGTTACTGCACCTGGTGGGAGGGACAGGGCGGGGAGAGAGAAAGGTGTTGGGCTGAAGAAGCGACGGGTGCAGAATCACATCGCCAAACCCGTGGCCCGACTTCATCAGTGCCGAGGCTGCTGCTCCCCCAGCCCCTGCCGCTGCAGCTTCAGCCGTTACTGCTCCTGTGGTAGGAAGAGAAAAGCAGAGGAGGACAGGCGAGAAGAGAGGAGGAGCGGAGGAGGTGAGTGCAGTGAGCAGCAGGAGAGAAAACGAGGCACACGGTGGCGCTTGGTGTTAGAGATAGAAGTGAACAGTGAGCAGGAGGAGGGAGGGGGAAGTACGCCGTAGTGCCTTTAGATTCGACTCAGAAGTCACTCTGTGTTGGCGGTGAGAGCAGTGGACAGTGAGCAGGAGGAGGGAGGGGGAAGTACGCCGTAGTGCCTTTAGATTCGACTCAGAAGTCACTCTGTGTTGGCGGTGAGAGCAGTGGACAGTGAGCAGGAGGAGGGAGGGGGAAGTACGCCGTAGTGCCTTTAGATTCGACTCAGAAGTCACTCTGTGTTGGCGGTGAGAGCAGTGGACAGTGAGCAGGAGGAGGGAGGGCGAAGCACGCCGCGAGCCCCCCGCCCGCGATCAGGGGTAGGGGACTGTGGTCTGGACGATTGTTGGAAAGACCCCTCCTTCCCTCTACGTTCTACTAACTCACCAGTAGTAGCAGTTCCAGGAGTGGCAGCAGCAGGGGTGCGGCACCTCTGCATGCTTACCAACTCACCAGCAGCAGCAGGGGTGCGGCACCTCTGCATGCTTACCAACTCACCAGCAGCAGCAGTTCCGGGAGTGGCAGCGGGAACGCGTTTGAGATCACTCCCCTTAAAGCTGCAGTATACATTTGTCAGCCGGGTTTAGGGTTTTTATTGTGTGCCTCACAGCTTTGGGGCAACTTTTCAAATTTCAAAAGTTTTTGAACCCAACCTTTCAAATGTATACTGCAGCTTTAACCCGTTTGTGCTGACAGCTCAGCAGCAGCAGCACA